GTTGTTTGGAAACTGGATGATGAGCTCGAAGCTGAGAATGACAAATGACGCTTCAGGTTTAGAATGTGTTGTTTTTGTATTTAGTTAAAGTCACTGCAAGCTGGAGGGCGATGAAGATGAAAATGCCAGAGAAGATGAAGAATAAATGAAGAGGATTCTTCTCTACTTGCGGAAAAGTGAGAGATAGCCATTTCAATGACCTGATGCTCGGTTGTGTGTTGTTCCTTGTAATAATTTATATATAGGTGAATAACTTGGTCGCATGCACTGATTTGAGATTTGAATGTTGCGTGATTTACAGATACATTAGATTTTTCAAGATTTGCTTTAATGTGTGCGTTTTTTAAGACATTGAATGACCATTCAATCTTATCCGTTTCCCCCAACCAACTACAAATGCCTTAAAGTTCTGACATCAAATATCTTTGAATATTACGAGGGTTGGTATAAAAGACTTGAAATCGAAGAAACAAGCCACCGTTTTGCGTTCATCATCTGAGGCTGAATATCGAGCACTAGCCTCTACTGTATGCGAAGTCCAATGGATAATCTCTCTTTTACATGACTTACAGATTCAGTTGCCAAAGCCAGCAGCAGTGTTCTGTGATAATAAATCCGCCATTGCCATAGCCGAAAACCACGTCTTCCACGAACGGACGAAACACATTGACATAGATTGTCACATAGTCGGAGAAAGAGTGAGCCAAGGAATCATCAAACTCCTTTCAGTATCCTCCTCTGCACAGATAGCGGATGGTTTCAACAAAGCATTGCCCACATCATCCTTTCAGCTATTCTTGTCTAAACTGGGCATACATGACATGCATGCTCCAGTTTACGGGGGGGGGGGGGGGGGGGGGGTATTAGAGCATGAGGGTGACAAACCAGAGGAACAAAATGAAGGCTGTTAGCAGTAAGAATACTGAAGAGCACTCAGGTCCTTCACACCTCAGGAGTTAGTTATAACTGCCCCTTGTATATAAATAGATTAGCTTCTTGTTTTGTAACTGTGAGATATTATTCAATAATGAAGGTCAACTCATTTCCTTTCCTGTTAGTTTCCTCTCCATTCATTTCACTTCAGGCATAGTAATGTCGAATACCTCTTCATTCATATTGATAGTGTGTCATGTCCAATTGAGTTGCTGATAGTAGCATAGAGGGTAGCAACTGAGATCTTAGTTGTACAACGAACTCTTAATCTTGTAAACGCTTATCAATATTTGGCAATGATAGTTTTTCCCTTATATGTTTTATTTGTGTGAGATATGTGTCATAAATTCTCATTTGTTGGAAAGTTTATTGAGCTTAGTTTATAACCGTACCCCATGATTAATTTGTCATCTTCTTAGGCAATCATCCTTACCTCGACCGACATATGTTTCTTTTAGCTCTTCTTTTTCAAGCGTTTTATGTTAATACTAGTCTTTTACGCGTATTACGCGATTGGGATAATACACAATGTTTTTTTTAAATAAGTACTTTAAAGTATATCAATGCAAGATTATATTGGAATTGTTCATGCATAGATAATTGAATGTTGAATTTGCGTATTTAAATAGGTAATTCTAAGTTTACAAATGCAAGATAATATAGTCAAGATTGATTATAATTGTCAATAAAATAATTGTACGTATAGGTATGGTTGAAACCAAATACGGGACATAAGGGAGAACAAAGAAAAATTAGGGAATAAAATATTAAATAGAGTGAATTCCATTTTTGGTCCTACTGTTATATGGGTGTTTCCAATTTTAGTCCACCTTAATTTTTTTTGCCACTTTATGACCACTATTTTTGAATATGTTCCACTTTTAATCCACTGTTAGTATTTCCATCAAGAGACCGTGTAATCTAGGGGTATTTTGATATTTCTTCTCATCCAAGACTATGTTTGACTAAAAGAAATGAGAACATTAAACCTAAAACCTAAGAAACCTCGCCGGCCCATGTTGGAACGAACGAAACGATGTAGCTTTGGCTTCCCATTCTCGTTGTTCGAAGAGCCATCTTCGAATATCGGAGGAGGAGGACGAAGCGCCTGGATTAAAAGAGAAAAGACAACCATAAAAAGACCAAAATACCCTTGGATTATACGGCCTCTTGACGAAAATATTAACGGTGGACTAAAAGTGGAACACATTCAATAACAGTGGTTGTAAAGTGGCAAAAAAAAAAAATTAAAATGGACTAAAATTGGAAACGCACCTATAACAGTAGGACCAAAAATGGAATTCACTCTATTAAATATATATATATACTAATATTGAAGAGCTAACTGTTGATTGCTAAACAAAGACATTGCTGTTAAAATAAAAACAGAATTAGAGAGAAATGATAGAAAAGGGGAATATCTTATTCCTTCATCTCATTATATATCTTTATACATCATATATATAATCTATACAAATTGACTGTTACAACAGTTACAAATCAAGTAATCAATGCCATAATAATGTCCATAAATAAGAATTTATAACACTCCCCCTTTGACATTATTTGTCCATGACTTTGCCTCGTTAAAAACTTGCTAAGAAAACCCTGTGGGAAAAACCTAGATAAGGAAAAAAAATATATATCCATGCCTCATTAAAAACTTCACTAGGAAAACCACGTGGAAAAAACCTAGTTGAAGAAAAGAGTACATGATATAATTATTGGTCGCCTCATTAATAACCTTTACTTAAGAAAACCCTGTGGGAAAAACTTAGTTAAGGGAAAACGAGTACAACCATAAGCCTTCAGGGCGCAAACTGCATAATCTTCAGGATTTTGGGGTTTGTCCATTTAAGCAATTGTTTTGCAACATTTCCCCATTTACATCATTATATCATACTCATGCCTCGTTAAAAATCACACTAGAAAAACAAAATTGGAGAAAACTAGTGAGGAAAAGAGTACATGATATGTTGCTAATAGTGCACAACTGTTAGTCTTTTATGACTTAATATTCAGAATTTTACGTCCAATCTTCCGGATTGATTCGAGTAAATGCACTTCCCGTCTGCCCCTGAAGATAACAATCTTCAAGTTCTACATGATAAAATAAAGTCATTGCTTCAAAATGTGTAGAGAAGGGATATGATACAATTTTCAGTTTTGTCATTAGAATTTATTATCTCGTCATACTCATGCCTCGTTAAAAAACTCACTAGAAAAACCCAGTGGGAAAAAAACTAGTTGAGGAAAAGAGTGCATGAAGTATGTGTATTCTTGTTTTAGATTAGCTGCCTCATTAAAAACCTTAGATTTAAGGAAAAACCCCGTGGGGAAAAACATAACTAAGGAAAAAAGAGTACAGTCGTTAGTCATCAATCTTCAGGATTGATTCATGTAAAATTATACTCCCCCTCAAGATAACAATCTTGATGTCCTATACATTAAATTTCCAAAATGTATAAAGGAATTTTGTAAATGAATATGTACCATTGTCAATGGAACGAATATACTTTATAACAATCTCGCGACTCTTCTGGAGCTCACGTGGGTATAATATTAACACCATAATATCTTAGTCAAAAGATTTCATTATATATTATTTTATCATTTGAGCAATACAATCTTTATTGTCCTTTTATAGGACAATGGGGGTAAATATAGTACAACCAGTTTTGGGACTTGGCATTATGGGGATACAAAAATAATAGCCAGTACCCAAGTAGCCCGTTATATATTGATTTGTATAAGTATCTTAATCAAAATCAAGTATTGGCTAACTGGTGTATATAAAAAAAATTCTTCAAGAAAAAAACTCGATCTTCAAGTCGAGATAATATATACTTATAGCTTTCACAAGCTTTTTATTTAAAAAATCTCAGTCTTTAAACATGAACTGACATCATCAAGCTCATTATATATTTCATTGATGTTTACACCATCAATATTGACTGAGATAATAGATAAGTCCATTATCAACTCTTTATTGAGCACATAATGGTACATATTATTCCTTCTATATGAGGATAATAACTCCATTCGCAACTCTTTAAAGAGTAAATAATGGCACATAGATACATATTCCTTCTTCGGGAGGAAAATACTCAGCCAATTCTTAATTATTTCAGGTCATATAAAGACCTTAATATTTTAATGTTGCGATTTTCACTTTTTCTCATTTTGAGAACTTAAAATTCTTTAGGGACTTTAGTTGCATATCTAAGTTTATTATTCTGCCAATAATATTATGTAGCGGAACTTAATGCAATTCATCGTGGGAGAGTTTATTTGATTAGAATCAATCAAGGGTATCTGTGTGAACCCATAAGGCTACAAACTCGCTTCATATCAGATTCTAGACATTTCCCAAAGATATTTTGATCTGGTCGTTCCGCATCCCTAGTATTACGTTTGTTTGGTGCACCTATGAATTTTACTAGGGTTTTTCGTCATCTGGACGAACGTCTGCAGGACATAATTGTTCAAGCAATTTTCAAGAGTGACAATGTTTATTTACTAGATCTAGTATAATGATTCTTATATCTTACACCGATAGATCTCCTACACTTCTGGCGTCAAGGAGTATCGGTAGATATATTTGGTCCAAATTGGGGAAGGTATATGGGACCTAGTCACTCTTTTTATGATCAATATGATCAATAGATATATTTGGCATATTATTTGCTAATATCGCAAATAGATCATCTTCTGAACTTCCAGTTCAGTTTAACTAGTACATGGATTTAAATAATGAAGATATTTTCATTCTATGAAATTTCTTGGCATTCTATTAAATTTGAACTCTTATCTCTCCCTAATGCCAAGAAACGATCTTCATTAATTAAGTATGCAGTCAGCGTATCTATTGATCCCCTTAGTATGCAGACAGAGATTTATAGCCCACAGAGATACACTGAGGTGGTGATATAATAAAATGAACTGCATACAAAGAATAGAAACACAGATTGAGAAATGTTTAATTCTACCATGTACTATGTGTATGGGGGAATAGTTACGATATGCAATGAGTCAGATTTGAATTAATACAAATATCCCCCAAATGTATGGTGTTGAGTGTTAGAGAAGACGGTGGAATGTTGCACTATGATATTATGGATGGAAAGAACAAAAGATTTACTGTGGTGCACAATGTAAATGACCATGAGGCCAAATGCAGTTGCAAGATGTTTGAGATGGTTGGACTATTGTGTCGACACATATTTGTGGTCTTTAGAGACCTTGAAAGGATCCCTCTGAAGTACGTGGTTAATCGGTGGACTAAGGATGCATCTTTAAAAGCTACGTTTGAAATAGATGGTGTGATTTACGATCAGAATGGACCAAAGGATGAAAAGAAGATGTTGCTGAACAAAGTGTGGTCTGATATACACTGTTGTATGGACATGGCAGGATCAAACATGGAGCAATTGACTGCATTTTCCCAAGTGATTGATGAACAGAAACAGCTGCTACTGTCAGGAAAGGAGAAATTGTCCCCTCAGCACAGCAGGAGGACTGTTATAGAATCATATTGTGGATCAACAGAAATTTCAGAGATCAACATACTTCCACCGAAACATGCAAAGAACAAGGGCAGCGGCAAGCGTATCAAAAGCAGCAAGGAGTTGGCAATGGAAAAACAAGAGGGCAGGAAGTGCAATTTTTGTGGTGTTAGAGGAGATCACCATGACACCAGGACTTGCCAACTTAACCCTAAAAACAAGGACAAGCAAAAGGGTAAGAAAAAGGCATAGCAGACTATTTTTTCAACGCCTTTAAAGTCGAGAACGAAAATGGATAGAAAATATGAAGCACAACTACTTAGTTAACTCATTTCAGAAGGCTTTTTACAGTTGAGATACTTGAATTTAATGTCCAGCTATTACTAGTTTTTGTTTTTATGACTGATTTGTGTTTAACAATCACTGCTAATAGCTTAATGTGCGTGTTATTACTACTTTACCTGCGTGCAGTTAATTCTTAATATGCGTTGATTACATTTTTAAATTGCGCTACATTAAACCTTAATGTGCGTAGTACAGAAACAGAATATGCGTTGGTTTATGTATAGAAACTTTGGTCCGTGGTAAACGTCTTTACATGCGTCGATTACCATTTAACTTGCGCAAAATTAAAGCTTAATATGCGTACAAAGGCAGTATTTAACACTTTCTTTCTATAATATGCGTTTATTTATTAGTTAATAAATAATGCGTTAAAGATAATTCTAATATGCACGACTAGAAAACTTAAAGTGCGTTTATTTGATTATGAACTAAACATGCGTGTAAATATAAATTTAATTAATTTGTATCGAAATAAATGATTTTTTAAAGCCAAAAGTTTAATGTGCGTCGCGAAACCAATTAAAGACCGCGAAATATCAATCTAATATGCGATTATTATATATTATTAATAAATCCAACAGTTTAATGTGCGTCGGGAAACAAATTAAAGTGCGCGAAATATCATTATAAGATGCGTTTATTATATTTTATTAATAAATACAAAAATTTAATGTGCGTCGCGAAACCAATTAAAGTGCGTGAAATACCATTCTAAGATGCGTTTATTATATTTTATTAAAAAAAAAAAGCAAGTAGAATATGCGTTAATGATAACATAATAGATCACATAATAGACATAAAATGATAATATATAAATTTTAGTAATTCATAAATTGTATGACGAAAATAACAAGTAATCACATAATACGCATAAAAATCTTGATATTTTCGTCATATTCATCCTTATTACGCAGCCTCCTCATTGATTACATCCTCATTAGCCAAGTTTCCAACAGGAGCGTCAGGAACCTGTTCATCCATCAAATCGTGAAAAGTTACTAAACTGTAAATACATCAATAAAATTATATAAAAAAGGGAAAAACAATGTAAGTATGCAGTAGATCACCTCTTGATCGAAATCATAATCTTCTCGGTCATAAGCATATGTTGGGAACTCAGCATCGTCTTTCAGTAATATAGCACCAGTTCTCTCACAGAACATCAGCATATACCAGAGACTAGAGGTCTTGTTTCTGTAGGTACTATAGGCCACCTCAAATCTAATGAGTATATAAGTTTTTCCTTCCACGAATCTGTTGCCGCGCCTTTCCGCAAACGGTTGTGGAATGTGCATATGAATAAAAGTCCCCTGAAATTATTTAAAAACAAAAAAAAAAAACACAAAAAAACATATGCATCAATAGTAAATTTTATAAATATAAAATATTACTCCGTAAGATTTATATTACACTAAAAAAAAATAATACCTCTACATCGTGAAGTACACACTCTATAGATCGGATTCTTTCAGAACCTTTGGTTTCTGGCAAACGAACGACTCGTAGCACTCGAACCCTAATTGAATTCCAGCGCAGTCCTATTCGGATTTGGTTTCCAACTACTTCGATGTGGGGTTCGACTGCCATTGAAACTCTCTTTACAAGGTAGAGTAGAAAAGCAAAAATATGTTTGAAGGAGACAGGTTTGAGTCGAGAATAATTTTGGATTTAAATAGCAAGTTCTTAAACGAATGCGACTGTTCGTATGTGACAACTTTAGGTCTAGCAGAATGCGACTGTTGATATGAAAATGTTCGACCGGGTATTATTAAACGGAAGTGCGTCAATTTATTCACTAATATGCGCAACTTAAGCCCGTTATTATGAGTGTTATTGCTACTTTACCTGCGTGAAGTTGATTCTTAATATGCGTTGATTACACTTTTAAAGTGCGCTACATTAAACCTTAATATGCGTAATACAGAAACAGAATGTGCGTTGGTTTATGTATAGAAACTTTGGTCCGTGGTAAATGCCAACGTCTTCAAATGCGTCGATTAACATTTAACTTGCGCGACATTAAAGGTTAATATGCGTACAAAGACAATATTTAACTCTTTCTTTCTCTAATATGCGTTTAATTATTAGTTAATATAATGTGCGTTAAAGATAAGTATAATATGCGCGACTGCAAAACTTAAAGTGCGTTCGTTGAATTATGAAATAATTTGCAGGCAAAATGATACATACATAAACGATTGCACATATTTATTTCTTCTAGTAATTTGAAGACATTTCTTCTGGTTCCGGCAGCATCCCACACATCACCAGCCACCCACAATTGCTCAACTGGATGATGAGCTCGAAGCTGAGAATGACAAATGACGCTTCAGGTTTAGAATGTGTTGTTTTTGTATTTAGTTAAAGTCACTGCAAGCTGGAGGGCGATGAAGATGAAAATGCCAGAGAAGATGAAGAATAAATGAAGAGGATTCTTCTCTACTTGCGGAAAAGTGAGAGATAGCCATTTCAATGACCTGATGCTCGGTTGTGTGTTGTTCCTTGTAATAATTTATATATAGGTGAATAACTTGGTCGCATGCACTTGATTTGAGATTTGAATGTTGCGTGATTTACAGATACATTAGATTTTTCAAGATTTGCTTTAATGTGTGCGTTTTTTAAGACATTGAATGACCATTCAATCTTATCCGTTTCCCCCAACCAACTACAAATGCCTTAAAGTTCTGACATCAAATATCTTTGAATATTACGTGGGTTGGTATAAAAGACTTAATATGCTTTGCTTTGATCTGTTACATGCGCTACCTACAAGAACAACATGCGTGAAATATCAGTTAAAGTGCGCGAAATATATAAATTTAATCAATTTGCATCGAAATAAATGATTTTTTAGAGCCAAAAGTTTAATGGGCGTCGGGAGACCAATTAAAGTGCGCGAAATATCAGTCTAATATGCGTGTGTTATATTTTATTAAACAAAAAAAAAGTACGGAGTAAAAATGAAATAAAAACTTCAAGTCCTTACGGGGGTTTAATCCTGGGCGAAAACATTTTAATCAAAGACTCCCACCATTTCGCCAATGGGCTCATCCATTACTTTGATTACAATATGTTATTAATAACAACAACAGAGGCAGACATGAGAGCTTGTTTTTAATATGCGTAACGCGTATAATCTTTGGTCCGTCGTAAACACCAAAGTCTTTAGATGCGTTGATTACCGGCCAAAAATATTTTAAGTCTTTTGGGGGGGATTCAATCCTGGGTGGATTTGATATATTCAAAGATTTCTACCATTTCGCCAGTAAGCTCACCCGTTTATTCCTTGTATACCAAAATATATGTTGCCTACTTACTAATCAAGAATTTAAAAGGAAGCAATATACCTCTATTTAATTCTTAATATGCGTTGATTTACACTTTAAAGGTGCACTACACTGCGGCTTATATATGCGTAACACGTAAACATAATGTGCGTTGGTCTATGTATAAAAACGTAATTACTCAGAGATTGCGTTGAAAATTAGCCTAGAATGCGCGATTGCAAAACTTAAAGTGCGTTTGTTTGATTATGAAATAATTTGCATTTAAAATGACACGTACATGCTTTGAATTTAACATGCGCGACATATCAATTTAAAATGCGTGATATTGTAACACAATGAGAGTTGGTTTCTATATTAATAAAAATAATAATTTACACTCTAATACATTAGTATTTGTAAACGTAAATACACATTGAAACAACACCAATAACATTCAGTGCATCTTTCCTAGTGCTTTGAAGGCATTTCTTCTAGTTCCGGCATCATCCGACATGCTGCCAGCTTACCACAAGCATTGAAAACCTCAATTTGGACATGAGCAAGGAGTGTGGATGCATGTAGGCTCGTGGTCTCTAAGCTTACTGTGTATGATAGATTCCTGGCAGCCGTAGGTGTTATTTGGGATGTCGGATGTCCTCAACTCTCTCAGCCTTGAATGATGTTTCGTTGCAGCATGGCGAGCTTGCAGCTGAGGACGACGAGTTTTCTCTCAGGTTTAGAATGTGTTGTCTTTGTATTTCTTTACAATCACTACAATCTGGAGGGCGAGGAGGGTGAAGAGGGCATGCAAGATGAGGAATAAAAGCAGATGGTTCTACTGAACGTAGGGAGACGTGAGAGGTGGCCATTTCAATGAAAACTGATGCTCGATTGTGTGTTGTTATTTCCAATTTATAGGCGAATAACTTGGTCCAATGAACTGATTTGAAAATTTCAATGTTGGTTTATGGGGGCGTTTTTTAAGGCATTGAATAACCGTTCAATGTTATCCGTCTCCCCAACTACCAATGCCTTAAAATTCTGACATAAATTTACTTCGAATATTGCGTGGATTGTTATAAAACACTTAATGTGCTTTGCTTTGCTCTGTTACATGCGCTGAGGACAGATACAATATGCGTTCAAATATACGTTTAATTAACTTTTATCGAAAAACGATATTTTTTGAACCCAAAAGTTTAGAGTGCGTGTGGAAACCAATTTAAGAGCGCGAAATATCACTTTAACATGCGTTTATTGTATTTTGTTAAACCAAAAACAAATAAAATATAATAAAAAAGTTAAGCATTTAGGGGGTTCAATCCTGCGCGGAATCGGTTTGATCAAAGACTTCTACCATTTCGCCAGTAGGCTCATCCGTTGAATTAATTATATTAAACAATTCTTACGTTATCGCAATACGTACGCTCAATATGCGTAATACTACAACAAAATTTGCATTTCGTTATCTACTTAAACTATAGTCCATGGCAAATAAAAAAAAAAAACTTAACATGCGCAATACAGTAACATAATGTGCATTTTTATTTATTTATTTATTTATTTTACGTATTGAATGACCAGACAACTTTAGAAAACTTTATTATTCATTAATTTGCTCATGTTAACACTTTATAG